TCACATGGGTTAAAAAAAGACCTGTAACAAAAAGTAATTCTAAACAAGAAGGTTTTATGTTGTTCCAACAAACTTATTTAATTTTCACAGTCCAATGTTGCATGGTCAAGCCAAGCAAACTAAGAAGAGATTAGCAATGGACGGAAACTAATCAAGGAGAGAAGCAACCTAGAACTAAAGAGAAACTTCCTGACAGTTAGAACAATTAACCAGTGGAACAACCTGCCTCCAGGAGCGGTGAATGCTCCAACACTGGAAGTTTTTAAGAAGAGACTAGACAGCCATTTGTGGTATAGGGTTTCCTGCCTGAGCGGGGGGTTGGACTAGATGACCTCCAAGGTCCCTTCCAACTTCTTTATTATTATTATTATTATTATTATTATTATTATTATATTGCACAACCATTTGACTGGAATGATATAGGGCAGTGATGGCGAACCTTTTAGAGATCGAGTGTCCAAACTGCAACCCAAAACCCACTTATGCATCGTTGGGGGCTGGGTGGGTGTGCCCCATTGGCTGGGTGTGGCCCATGGGTGGGCGTGGCTGCAATGGTAACGGCAGACTGGGTGGGACTAAAAAGTTCAATCCATCAATTCCAACTTTGCAAGATCTTTTTTTTCCTGCGAGAAGTTGAAATTGATTGATTGATTGAACCTTTTTTTTTTTGTACACAGCAATGGAGGCCTAAAGTGAAAAGGTTTTATAAAACCCAGCTGAAGGCCTAGGACTGGGGCAACAGCGCGTGAGCCCACAGAGAGGGCTCTGAGTGCCGCCTCTGGCACCCGTGTCATAGGTTCGCCACCACTGATATAGGGTCTTCTACTTGAGTAGGGGTTGGACTTGAAGACCTCCAAGATCCCTTCCAACTCTGTTTTTCCTATAAGGACTGACAAATAAGCCTCACCTATTAAACACAATTCTATGAAATCTTCAGTTACTACAATACAATACAGTAGAAAATTGTGACTTCTAAATTATTCCTATTCAAATTGTAAACTGAAACAGCCCAATTCATGTTATTAAACTTATATGAAACATAATCCTTAATTCCATTAAAATAATTTTGAGTTGATTGTTTACTTTTTCTATTTTCCCCCATCCCAGTTTTTTTCAATAGTAACTGCATTTCATTTAGGCAATTCAAAATATAAGAAGTGGAAAAAAATGTAATGATAATTACTAGACATTTTGTGGTAATTGTGCTAGGGAAAATCAATGATCTTCTAGGAGGGGAACTATTATTTTATTGAGAAATGGCCATGATAATTGCATAGAAAATGATTATTGCTTACTTCCGAATGCTAAAAAAAAATATATATATAAGATACTCTCCTAGGCTTCAGTGGATCTTAGAACAAGAACAATATTAACAATGAAGAAAACAGATGTCAATAATGTTTCTGCAGGATTTGGAGATGTTAAGATAGCAATGAAAACTCATCTCCTATGTTTGCAATGTTTGTATCAAGAGAATGAAGTTGTGAGCTCAGAGCTGAATTGCATCCTGAAAGTGAAAGTATTCATTTGTCAGGATAAAAAAAATCACTGCTTCAGACAGGAAGGCGGTGCAGAGAGTGGTGAGAATGGCCGAAAAGATCATTGAAAGTTCCCTCCCTCCCATCCAGGACATAGCACAGAAGCGCTTCTTGAGCAGGGTCCGAAAGATTATCTGGGACACTACACATCCTCTTCACGACCTGTTTTTCTTGCTACCTTCTGGGAGGAGGGGGCTTGTGGTATCCGCAGCAGAACATCCAGATTCAGCCAGAGTTGCATTCCATGCAGCATTAACCTTGTGAACTCTCAAGCTTCCTCCTTCCATTATATATTCAAGATGGACAATATTTAATATTTATTTGCTACATATATGTAGGGGTGTGGGTCTATACATATATTGTTCATAGTATGTTTAGGTGTGTGTCATGTATGTGTTTCACTTTGAGAGCGGGCAACTAAATTTCATTTTTGATGTGTGCCATCCTGCCCACAGTATAAAAATGACAATAAAGGTTATCTTACCTTACCTTACCTTACCTTACCTTATCTTACCTTATCTTATCTTATCTTATGAATTAAGGTTTGTGTTCTGAGAAAGGTGAAAAGTTCCCCTCCTGAATAGCTACTGACTGAAAGGAATGGATCCTGAGAATTGCTGATAATCCATTGTGGATGTTTGAGTTAACTGCTTCCTGGTTAGTAAGCAGAGGTTGTAGTAGGAGAAACATAAGTGAGCAGTGGTCGTACAAATACAATGATTAGAATGCAGTATTGCAGGCTAACTCTGTTGACTCCAGCACTTTGATCCTGACTGGCTCAAGGTTGATCTAGCCTTCCATCCTTCCAAGATCAGTAAAAAGAGGATCCAGATTGCTGGGGGCAATACGCTGACTTTCTCAACTGCTTAGAGAGGGCTGTAAAGCACTGTGAAGTGGTATGTAAGTCTAAGTGCTACTGCTATTGCTATAAAGCAGCAAATTCCAGGGTGTTAGCTTCCTGAATGAGTGAACAGGAAGGGGAAAGAGTAAACTTTAATAGGGAGTTCAAGGCAAAACCCTTAACAAATTATTCAAATAGATCTCTGATACGTTGTTGCTTAACCTTAGAGCCTAAGATAGGTGAAAGAAGAAATCAAAACCTTCTAATGGTGGAATAAAATAACAAAAATGAACAAATGAGAACATGGTCATGACTTCCAATAGCTCAGGAGCGTGGTGGCTCACGTGGTTAGAGAACTGGGTTGGAGTTTAGCAAGACCCGAGTGCTGCTGCGTCTCTGGGTGAGCTCCTGTCACTTGCTCTAGCTCCAGCTCCTTGCAGGGACATGAAAGGAGCCCTCATGGCTGTCCCTCCAGCAACAATGATGTCACTGGCTAATCCTTTCAATCTAGAAGCATTTGGAATGGGAAGGGACTTCCAATGGCTATAGAAGCTGCACAAGACCAAGGCATAAGAACCAATGCATACAAGGACAGGACTGAGAAGACAGCAAAAGATAGCAAGTGCCACCTCTGCAAAGAAGCTGAAAAAATAATGGATCAGCTGATTAGCTGCAGCAAGATCACACTGATAGACTACAAACAATGATATGACAAAGTAGCAACAATGGTGCACAGGAAGATCTGCAAGAAATGCCATTTGCTTGCAAGCAAAAGTAGTGGGATTATAAAACAGAGAAAGTGGCAAAAATGAAGAAGTTAAAGGGCTCAAACAGACAGGCACTTGCCACATAACACTCCAAGATTTAACAATTGTTGATAAGAAAGACGAAAAGGTCTGGATAATGGATGTGCCAGTATCTGGAGACAGCAGAAGAGAAGAGAAAGAACTGGAGAAGATAACAAAATACAAAGATCTGCAAATATAAATAGAACAACTATGGCAAAAGAAAGCAAAGGTAGTTCCGATAGTCATAAATGCCTTGGGTACAATCCCAAAACAACTGGGGTAATACTTGAACCATTGGAATTGACAGATTCAGTATCATTATCACTACTTGGAACAGCTTACATCCTGCAACAACACTTTTAACATCATGAAGCAACATCTGCCTATCCCTGGTCCTAACGCCAAATCCAATCTGAACATCCGGCTGACTATGTGATGATGAACCATAATAATAAAGATAAGATAAGATAAGATATTACAATTAGTGGTGGATTCATACTTTATTTTCATTGATTACATACCTTTTTTGACATTAGGTCCATTTCTAGGCAGTGCATTTTAAGAATGAATCAGATAAATAAGTATAGGTTTAGAGAAGGGTAGTGAAGATGATCAGAAAACTAGAAATTGACCCCAATACAGGTAGTTCCCAACGCACGACCACAATTAATTCCAAAATTTCCATTGCTAAACAAGACAGTTGTTATGTGAATTCCCCCCCCCCATTTTATGACTTTTTTTGCCACAGTTGTTAAGTGAATCACTGCAATTGTTAAGTTAATAACATGGTTCTTAAATGAATCTGGCTTCCCCCATTGACTTTGTTTGTGAGAAGATGATCGGGTGATCAATGACCCTGGGACTTCAATTGTCATAAATATGAACCAGTTGCTTAGTGTTTGAATTTTGATCATGCGACCATGGGGATGAAACACAATCATAAGTCACTTTTTTCAGTGTCATTGTAACTCCGAACTAAACAAATGGTTGACACTGAAGGACTACGTGTAAGGAACTGTGATTGTTTACATTTGTGGAAAAAAAAAACATACCTGTTCAAATATCGGAGGAACTGTCATTCAGGGATGTTCAAGACCCTTTTCGTTGTGGGACATAGAAAAATTGATTAAATTATATATAAGTAGATTTCAATTTAATGTTTGGACCTCTGATGATAATATCAGCTTCATAATGGCACCAATTACCCAGAGAGGTTGTGGGATATTCTTCAGTGTTGAAATGGAGGAAAGATCATACTGAGCAGAGTTTTGAATTTATTGATCTCCATGAAATTATAACTATTATTCTGTGATCGAGATTTGCAGGGGAAAAGAGAGTTATTTGCAGGGGAAGAAGAACCTTATTTTGAGATTAGGCCTATTAATGTATCTCGGAATGATTTTATTTAAAGGATGCATTTCATCAAAAATCTCACTCACTTTTTTTCCAGTACAATGAAAGCTGGGCTGCCTTGTTATCTAGAATCACTATTTGAATTTTTTTTTTATTTTCTCCCTCTATTAGATAATATACCAGGTCTTCCCAAACTGAAGAAGGATATTGTTAACTCTCAAGCTATAAATACACCTCCCTCCAATGCGCTTAACCAAAAAAATGTACTTGATACAGCCACAAAGATTTCTATACTTATTGAGTATATGTACTTCTAGTGTTCTAGCTTGAATAACATTATCTGCCGTTTTTCTCTTATACAGTTCTTCTCCTCAGGTGATACAAAAGATTCCCACTGTGACTATTTAAATACCGTTCCCTGTGGTTACTAAGAGAAACAATGTGATTGTCATATAATAGTCATTTCTTTTCTTTTTGTAGATCCTGGTTTGCACAGGCAGCAATTTTTTCTTCAGAGACCATCCAATGTGGTGGTTGTAGAAGGGAAAGACGCCATTTTGGAGTGCTGTGTTTCAGGTTATCCAGCCCCAGCATTTACGTGGCTGCGAGGAGATGAATCAATCTCATTCAGGTATGTAGTGGGTTTTAAACCCATGGAAGGACTGGTTATATACGTTTGATTGATAAATGAATACAGGTAGCTCTTCATTTACAGCTATTCATTTAGCAACCGTTCGAAGTCATGACCTACATGAAAAAGGGCAGATATGACCCAGTTCTGACACTCACAACATGGTCACATTTATGGCCATTTGCACCCTTCCTCAGTCGCATGACCACATTTTATGACTATTTATTTTTATCCTGCTTTTTTTTTTACAAATAACTGAAGGTGGCAAACATATCCAACACAATCTTCCTCCTATTATCCTCATAACAACAACCCTGTGAGGTGGGTTAGGATGAGAGAGAGGGACTAGTCCAAGGTCCTCCAGCTGGCTTTTATGACTATGAATTCATAGTCTCCTGCTTTCTAGTCTAGTGCCTTAACCACTAGACCAGGCTTTTATGACTCGTGTACTTCAACTCCCAGAATTCCTGAGCAGGAATTCTGGGAGTTGAAGTCCATGAGTCCTAAAAGAGCCAAGATTGCCTACCCCTGCACTAGACTATTTCCCAAAAAAACTGGCACTTATTTCTGGTAGAAAACAATTGGTTTGCTTTAAGTCTACCACATTTACTTAACTTCCACAAAAAAGGTCATAAAATCCAGTCAATCACATTACCATCCCAATTTACAACTGTTGTGACTTACAGCCATAATGGGCAGGCTCCATTACAGTTGTAATTTGAGACTGCCTGTAAGAGTTCAAAGAATTTTGGCTGGTGGGGTCTAGCAGAAGAGTCTTTTCTGCCATGGCCATCAATCTTTGGAATATTTTCCACCTGAGGTGGAAGGCTGAGAGATTTTTTTTTTGTTCTTGGCGTTCTGAAACATCTCAAACTTGCTCAGGTTAGTAAACACTGATCTATGACCTTTTCCTTTTTGATGTTTGAACTCCAAATCTGCAAGAGGAACAAAGTTGAAGATCAGAGACATGGCACAGGTAGAATTAGAACTGTACCACATCCCAAGGATTCATGATCTTCTCAACCTTCCCTGAGATGAGATAAAATGTTAAAACACCTGTGTGGCATATCTATTTTCCATACATGACTTGCAATATTTTCCTTCCAATCTTTACAATAACCCCAACAGGAAGGGACAGGAAGCACCAAAGCAGTAATGTTTGTGGGACAAAAGCAGTGTTGTGGCTTTGCCCCATCTCTTTTCTATGTGGAGCCTGATGTTGCGTTTACATATGGAAAGGGAAGAGGTTGCCATGATAGTTTAACAAAAAGAAGGTGACATGATAGCAGAGTTCCAATATCTAAGGGGCTGTCACAAAGAACAGGAGTCAACCTATTCTCCAAAGCACCTGAAGGCAGGACAAGAAGTTATGGATGGAAACTAATCAAGGAGAGAACCAACCTAGAACTAAGGAAACATTTCCTGACAGAACAATTAATCAATGGAATGGTTTGCCTCCAGATGTTGTGGATGCTCCACCAGTGCAGGTTTTTAAGAAGAGATTGTCTGAAATAGGGTTGACCAGGGGGCTGGACTAGAAGACCTCCAAGGTCCCTTTCAACTCTGTTATTCTGTTTTGTCATTCAAGTAAAAATTGTGTATAGGTAGAAGCATTTAAAGCAATATTTCCCAAACTTGATGATTTCAATATCAATATCTATCAGAATAGAGCTGGAAGGGACCTTGGAGGTCTTCTAGTTCAACCCTCTGCTAAAGCAGGAGACCCTATACATTTCAGACGAGTGACTGTCCAGTCTCTTCATTAAAACCACCAGTGATGAAGCACCCACAACTTCTGATGGCAAGCTCTTCCACTACTTTCTTGTCCTCCCTGTTAGGAAGTTTCTCCTTAATTCCAGGTTGCTTCTCTCCTTGATTAGTTTCCATCCATTGTTTCTTGTCCTGCCTTCAGGTGCTTTGGAAAAGAAGTTGAACTCCTCCTCTTTGTGGCAACCTCTCAAATACTGGAATACTGCTATCATGTTCAGGTATGTGGACTTCAGCTCCCAGAATTTTCATTCACTAGCCATGCTGCTGTGGAATTCTGGGATTTGAAGTCCACACAGATGGTAATGGCCAAGGTTTGGAAACACTGATTTAAAGCATCACCTGTAAAGTCCTCTGTGGCACAAGGCCAGGTTATCTGAGGGGCCTCTTTTCCCTAAGGACATCTGCTAGAACTACCAGTCAGACAGGTGGGAATGCTCCTAATCCATTCCTTTAAACATTGGCATCTTGTGGTAGCTAGGAGGCATATCGGTGCCCTGTGGAACATTCTTCATCCTGATGTTTGGCAGCCTACTACCCACCTAGCCTTCTGTAAAGCACTGAAGACCTGTTTTTCCTCCAAGTTCTGGGATACAATGAGGTGCCTACACATTGAAAGCTTGATTTGGTGCCAGATTTTTGTTTCTATGCATTTAATTTGATCAGTTTTAAAATGGTTTTATGTTATTTAATCATAGATTGGGAGTTGTCCATTTTGTGATACGATGGGTGGCTATATTCATGTTTTAAATAAATAAATAAAAATTCTCCATTCTTCCCTCCTGGTATACTTCACTGAGGAGCTAGATTTCTTGGTGTGTCCTGGAAGAATGGAATTGCCATGCTTTAGCTCTTTGAACAAAAAAAGATGTGATATAAATCTAAAATAAATCAACCCATAGAGAAAGTGAGCCTTGCATATTGTCTTACTTGATACAGTGATATTATGTTAATATTTCAGATCCAAAAAATATTCACTGTTGGCTGGCAGTAACTTATTGATTTCTAATGCAACGGATGATGACTCTGGAAGTTATATCTGTGTGGTCACGTACAGAGATGAGAATAGTAGTGCATTAGCTGAATTATCAGTACTGGGTGAGTAGAAAGAACTATTTTTTGCCTCTTACATTGCATTCTTTATTGCTGAGTACTGATCCTGATTATGAAGGCCATCTGATGGCCTTATGATTTTCAATTGTTTTGAAAGGAGTGTTTGGATTTTGCAGATTTTCTATGGTGGAGTTACTTTACAGAGTGAATGTTTATTTATCAGCACTATGAAAAGCAAGTGTGTGGGTATGTAAGTCGTCTGAGAAAATAAAAAGTCAGATCATCGTTGACTAAGTTCTTGTGTTTATAGAAGAAAGGTTATGAATTCACAGTGAATAGTTATCATTCTTCCTTTGGCGTTTCTCTCCCAGCATTATATTCTTCCTGGAACTGAACGGCAGCCTATAATAGAGCCTTGTGACTCTGTTCCAATTGCTGGTAGATTATGGGGAAGAATGATAGAAAAGATTGTTTTGAAGTTTGACAGCTTAGACAGCTTCTTGGGAGAAGGCAAAGGGCAATAGTAAAGTTTCACTTTCTTTCCTCTATTGTTGAGCACTTGAACATCATTGGTTCCTGAACGTCATAATACTGATACAGATTAAACTCTTGAATGTTATAATATTGATGATGTCAGAATCCTTGGTGCTCTCTGTGCTTAGTTGTTTTCTTGCAGTCATTTCATTACTCATTCATTATCCATTGTATATGTTACCTGTATATGTAACATATACAGTGATAATGAATGAGTAATAAAACATCTGCAGAAAAATAAGCTCAGAGAGCACCAAGGACTCCACAGTTCAACCCTGAACTACAAATATTCTTTTCTGTTAATATTGATGATGTTACCTAGTCAGGTAATGAAATGTCTGCAAGAAAATAACTAAGCTCAGAGAGCACAAAGGACTCCGCAGTTCAACCCTGAGCTACTAATATTCTCTTCTGTTGATATTGATGAACAAACTAGGTCAGAAAGCACCAAGGATTTCACTCTTGCTTTTTTCCCTCTTTTCCCTCTATTTGCCTTCTTATCTAAATTGTGGAGTTTTCATCTCCTGGACCCTTGGCTCTTCTTATACGAGCCCAGAAGGATGACAGAGCTATCTAGAGTTGGTTAAGATAGAAAAGAATCCATAAAATGTTAGATTGTGAAAGAGAATTGTTGTAATAGAGGATTACAACTTTGGCATGGATTTCTTTTGAGGACAGAAATATATTCTAATACCTTTAGTCAGATATTTCCATTCTACACATGAACTTGCTAAAAGAGTGAGGGCAAATTTTAAATTTCAGTAAACCATCTTTGGGGGATGCAGATTTATGAGAAACAAGGCTGTATTTCCTATCTGCCTTTCTTCTTAATTCTTTTGAGGAATATTGGTTGGGATAAATAGAAAAGGGCATGTTGGAACATATATTCAGAAGCACATTATTCTTGCTTTAAAGCCTGATCCTAATTGATTGGTTGATATCAAGCCAACTCACATCCCAAAGATAAGTGTGCATGACCAATGCTTTCCCAAACAGTTTTGTCCAACATTCAAGGCTAAAAATAGGAATAAGATTTGGGGGAAACTTTATTTATTTAGTTGATTTATATAGATGCCCATTTCACACAATGGACTTGGTGTTGATTGCAAAGATTGATGATGTTGATAATATGCCATCAAGTCATGTTCAACTCCTAGCAACAACATAGATTTTCTTCTTGATAGCATTAGCAATAGCACATAGACTTATATACTGCTCCATAGTACTTTAGAGCCCTCTCTAAGCAGTTTGCAGTGTCAGCATATTGCCCCAATAATCTGAGTCCTCATTTTACCGACCTTGGAAGGATGGAAGGCAGAATCAATCTTGTGCTGGCCAAAACCGAACTCCTGACAGTGGGCAGAGTTAGTCTGCAATACTGCATTCTAACCACTGCGCCACCACGGCTCTTTGATGATCTGTTCCTAACCTGAACTTTCAGGTCTCCCAATGGTGCACTCATTGCTACTGTAATTGAATCCATCCAACTTGCTTCTAGTCTTTCTTTTCTTTTCTTTTTTCCCTTCCTTCCTTCCTTCCTTCCTTCCTTCATTTCTTTCTTTCTTTCTTTCTTTCTTTCTTTCTTTCTTTCTTTCTACCTTTCTACCTTTCTTTCTATCTTTCTCTACCTTTCCCAGGATTTTCTAGAGAATTAGGTCTTTCCATAATGTGTCCAAAGTTTAGTCATTTGAGCCTCAGTTGGGAACTCTGGGTTGATTTGTTTGATGAGCCATCAGTTTTTTGCTTTGGCAAAGATTAAAAGTCAGAAAACCCACCATATACAACCACCTGGCACCGAGTGATAAACAATAACTCCATTCACCAAGAAACTTAATAAAACCACATGCATAATAAGAGAGCTCAGCCACCCACCTGACTGAATTCGTGGGGGAAAAGCCAGGTCTTCAATGCCTTGTGAAAGGCTAACAGAGTTGTTAGTTAAAATTTAGTTTTCACTACAACACAGGTAGTCCTTGAGTTATGACCACAATTGAGCCCATTTATGTTCCTTATGATTTTGTAAAAACTGACTCCAATAACTCAGAAATATTTTGGAGAAGGATTACTGCTGCACTGTCAAACTGCCGGCTGGATGCGTCATGGTGAAACTGCACCCATTCCATTGCTGGCAATGGAAAAAAAAGTTGTGATACATCGCGACACGTCATGTGACGTTACGAGTTTGACATCCCTGGTATAGTCTTCAACCCCAATTGAGCCTAAATTTTCTGTTGCTGAGACATTTATTAAGTGAGTTTTGCCCCACTTTACAATCTTTCTTGCCACAGTTGTTAAGTGAATCATTGCATTTGTTAAGTTAGTAACATGTTTGTTAAGTGAATTTGGCTTCCCCATTGACATTGCTTGTCAGAAGGCCTCAAACTCATGTGACCTTAGGACACTACAACCTTCATAAATATGAACCACTTGCTAAGCATCTGAAATTTGACCTCATGACCACAGGGATGCTGCAACGGTCGTAAGTGTGAAAAACAATCATAAGTCACTTTTTTCAGTGCTGTTATAACTTTGAACAGTCACTGTTATAAGTCAAGGACAACCTGTAGTTTTCCCTATCTTAGTCAAAAATTAGTTCATGTGCCAGAGTAGTGAGCAACAAAGTTTATTTTATTTTTTCTCTGCAAAGAATTAATTCATGACATCTGACAAGTAGTTTTGTCCTGTTCTTCCTTCTTCCAACCGCTGTTTAGCTTGTATTGAATGCTTATTGCTATATCTGAAGGAAACATTTCTAGATTATTCCCTGAGTCTTGACATATTTGGCAGTACTAATTGGGAGAACTCCCACAGGTGAGTGTGTCAGTGCCTTGGTTTGAAAAGACCATATTTGCACTTCTTTAACCATTTCTTGTCTTATTAACAGTCACCCAAGGGAAAAAATCAGGAGAAAAATCAGAACAAATAAGCAAACACATAAACACAAGCAGCTAATTACATTTGTTTTGTTTTCTACTGCACTGCTGATAATTTTGTAGTTTTCAACTTTTTTTTCTCTCCATTTAACATCTGCCTGCCTCGTAGTTATGTCTCCTCTCTTTTCTTCCTTTACTAGTTTGTTTATTTGATGTTCTAAATGTTCAACATGGAAAGTGCTTCCAAATGTGTTCATTTTACAGGCTGTTTGGAATTTCTCTGGCTTTTGTTGCCTTCTGTAAAATATGAAGCATGCTATTTTTTTCTGCATATATTTTCTCTGTAAATATGCAGTGTTTTCTTGCTGAAAATTTAAAAAACCACAATTATGCATTGCATTCCCAAATCCCATCCATGTATTGTCTAAAACTTTATTTTGCACATGGATTTCTCCAAGCTGGCCCATCTACCCAGGCTTGTTGCTTGAGCCATTTGAAACAGTACTACAGGTTTTCCTTTTTTAACTTCAAGCCCATGAAGAGGCTCTATTTATAACATGATTACTGCATGGCACTTTTGATGCTTGTGGTTATCTCACAAAAATATTATTTGACAAAAAAAAGTTGAACGTCTGTTATTCTGTGGATAACCTGCTGAACAGCGAAGTATAGCACTTTACCCCTGTTTTCTTCCCACCACAAAATATTTTCTTTTTCTTGAGACAATTTACGAGATGGTAAAGGGTGCTGTTTGACATCAGTGTGTGGAAAAATATCTCAGTTCTTGGATGAAAGATTCCAGTTCACTACTGTGTCAGTTTTCTGAATGACGTGAAGGATTATTAAGAGTTTGAGAGATAGCTCACCATTTTTCACTAATTAAGAAGCAAGTAATTTTAGAATTTTTCTACAAGAGTTAAGGAACCACATGAATAATACTTGTCACACTAAAAAGCGCTTTGATTGAAAATAGAGACCTAGTTTGGATTACAGGAGATTTGATGTATGTCTAACAATATCTTTGCATTAATGTTTACAGAAGTTATGCAAAACAGACTTTCATCTTAGCAGTTTACAGTGCATTGAAATTTCAAAAATGTGATTAAGAACCCTACTGTGCATAATATTTTGCTTTAATGATTCTAAAGAAAACTCTTCACTTAGTGTCATTCCCAGACCTTGCTCTGGAAGAATGTGTGTTCAGTTTAGAACTGGTTTAGATTGAGAAGGCCTTTTTTTTTTTCCATAAGTGACCTTCTCCAATCAGGTTGCTTAGATTTAGAATAACAGAATAACAGAGTTGTAAGGGACTTTGGAGGTCTTTTAGTCCCACCCCTTGCTCAATCAGGAAACCATTCCAGACAAATGGCTGTCCAATCTCTTCTTAAAAACCTCCCATGATAGAGCACCCACAATTTCTGAAGGCAAGCCAGTCCACTGATAAATTGTTCTGTCAGGACATTCCTCCTTATTTTTAAGTTGGTTCTCTCATTGATTAGTTTCCATTCATTGCTTCTTGTCCTGCCTTCAGGCACTTCGGAGTATAGGTTGGCCCCCTCATCACTGTGGCAGCCCCTTAGATATTGGAAGACTGCTATCATGTCACCTCTAATCCTTCTCTTTGTTCCTGCAATAGTT